CAGAAAGAGAAGAGACAAGAAAAAAGACCAGAACACGCTGTAAAGGTAAAGCAACAGACGTCGCAGATCATCGGTCCGTGAAGCGAAGCTCCAACCCCCACCCCCACCCCACCTGCCTCCCGGCCAATAATGGCCTGGCCTGCCTTCTCGACTGTCCGAGTCGCTGTTCACACGGTCCCTAGTTGTGACCCGTTACCGTGACGTGTCTGTCCGCCCGATCAGGGCTCGTGCTGTCACTGGGAACTGATTTTGGGAATGGAAAAGGGGAATGTTTTGAATTGGAAGCGATTTTAGGGTGTTTTTTTGTGATTTGAGGAAGAGACAAGGGGGCTGTTTTGAATTGGAGGTGGTTTTAGAGTGTGTTGTGATTTCAGGAATAGAAAAGAGGGTTGTTTCAAGTTGTGGGCATTTTTTAAAATGTTTTTTTTTTCTTTTTTGTTTTTGAGGGGGGGGGGTGATTGAATTTGGGAATAAAAAAAGGGATGTTTTGAATGGAGGAGGAGGAGGAGGAGGAGAAAACAATAAAAGGAGGGAATGAGAATGATAGGAACGAAAGCATTAAGAACAATTCCTGTGGCGCAGGCTACACAAATCAATACCAGCCACTCACAGAACATACACAACTAATATTATGTATTGCCCGCCACCGGGTGGTGTATAACTTTCTTTTTCTGTGTGTCATGGCCTTGCTATTTTGAACCAAGGCCTCATTCGTTGTGTGAAAAAATATGTACCTTGCGGTTTGTGGTACACTATGTCTGACGCCAGAGAGTCAAACGTATACATTGGTGGGAACAGGTCTTTTTGTAAGTGACAAAAAAGTCTACTCCCTCCCCCCTCCCCAACCCTTTCCCCCTCCTGCACCCAGCATGTCGGAGAAAAAGTAATCGTGTCTGTCACGGTTGTTTGGTTAGAGGTGAGGCTCTTTCATTGTACATTATTTGCGTATAAATCGGAATTCGAAGGGGATTCCCCTTTTGAAATCTATTTTTATTTCGGGATTTGGGTCGATTTTGTGAATGGGATTGTTTCGCGGTTACTTCATATTACATTCGGCTGTTAGGGTCAAGGCAGAAGTTCATTATTTTAACATTTTTAACCAGGATATTATGCTTGACAGCAGACATTTTTATACTAAATAAGACTTTTACACAACGCAGTGTTTGAATCACAATGACGGAACCTGGCCTGTATGGAAACATGACTCGCTGTTTGGATGATGTGAAAAAAAGGCCGAAATCGATTGCTTTGTTATTGAGTGAGTAGTTGTGGAATGTTATAGATGTGACTCGTGGACCGTGTGTGTTATGATAGTAGTAGTAGTAGGTAATGTACTGTAAACTGAAATTTGATGATTGCTTTAACGACCTTCTCCCTCCGCTCTCTCACTCTCTCTCTCTCTCTCACACACACACACGCACACACACACACACACACACTCACACATACACACACACA